CTATCTTATTTAGACAGACCTGCGGAGATAATAAAATGCACAAAAACAAGACAGAGCATTAGTTTTATGATCACTTTACTGCTACTTCCATGAGCATTTACAGTGGGTGCATGTAGGAAATAAGCAATGACAATGTCAATCTTTTCTCAGTTTATAATGTTGCCTATTGGTCCAGTGTGAGGATATTGGTCATCTGTACACTGACTTGTAATTTATCCTGAAGGCTCAAGTCCTTGATCTTCATCAGCAAGGGATTTAAGTATCCCCACTCTCAGCAAAGCTAAGTTGTGTCAGCTACATATCACAGTTTGTTAATAAGCTCTCCTCCAATCCTGAGGCCACATTCTTCTTTATATAATCCAGCTTCTCTGATTATTTTATCCAGCATCCATATTGAACAAGTACAGAGAGAGGATAAAACCCTAATGCACACCTTTCCTTATTTTAAACCATGTATTATTCCCTTGTTCTATTCACACAATCACCTTTTGATCTACATATGAGCTCCCCATGTACACAATTAAGTACTCTGGGATTCACATTATTTTCAAGAATATCTATCATTTGTTATGATCCACACTGTCAAATGCCTCTGCATACTCAATAAAACACAAATAATCATCTCTCTGGTATTCTCTACTTTGAGCCAAGATTCATCTGACATTAGCAGTGATAACCCTTATTCCATGTCTGAATCAGGCCTGAACATTGGACATTTTCCTATTAATGTACTGCTACAACCATTGTTGGATGATATTCAGCAAAATTTCACTTGCATGTGATCAGTGATATAATATTATCAATGATACTTCTCTGGGAACAAATATGGATCTCTTCCAGTCAGGTTGGCCAACTTGCTGTCTTCCAAATCCCCTGGCATAGACAAATGTGTACTACCTATGCTTCATCAGCTTTTGAAACTTTTTAGTTCCTGGAGCTTTGTGGCTAATGCCCTTTGTGCAGTTTGAACTTTTCCTCTCAATACTGTTGGTTCTTGTAATGGTTGAATATTGACTAGTTCTTTTTGGTACAATGACTGTGTGTATTCTTTCCATCTTCTTTTATTGCTTCCTGCGTCATTCAGTGTTTTACCCATAGAATCTTTCAGTATTGCAACTCCAGGCTTGTTGTGTGTGTGTGTGTGTGTGTGTGTGTGTGTGTGTGTGTGTGACAGAGAGAGAGAGAGTTCTTTTAGTTTAAGAATCAATCACAATGATCGACAGATAGCCCCCACCCAGGGTGGATGAACAATAGAAAAATGGGTGAAGGGAGACAGTGGTCAGTGTAAGACATGACAACAAATTATCAAGGGTTCATAAGAGAAGGAGGGTGGGGGAGGGAGAAAATGAGCTGATACTAAGGACTCAACTAGAAAGAAAATGTTTTGAAAATGATGAAGCCAACATGTACAAATGTGCTTGACACAATGGATGGATGTATGGATTGTAATAAGAGCTTCATGAGCCCCCCAAAAAATGTTTTTCAAAAAGAAAGAAAAAATATACGCTGAGCTTATTCTTCCATTTCCCTTTTCTAACCCTTTGCACATTTCATTATAGTATTTTACTGTGTCTTCTTGAGATTCCCTTTGAAATATATTTTGTTCAGTTCTTTAACTTCATCATTTCTTCCAATTGTTTTAGCTACTCTGTGATTAATAATAATTCTCAGAGCCTATTATGACATCCACACTGACATTTTCTTTCTTTTTAATGTCTGTTGCTTTCTTCCTATATGATCCTCTTGATGTCCGCCCACAGATCATTAGGTCTTTTGTCACTAGTAAACAATTCTTAATATCTTTTCTTAATAAGCTCTCAAAATAAAGGTGGGATTTCCTCAAGGTATTTCATCTCTCATGGACTTGTTTTATTTTTCTTGAGCTTCAAACTGAACTTACATATGAGCAATTGATGATGTGTTCCATAGTCAGCCCCTGGTCTGGATTTTGCTGCTTATATTGACCTTCTCCATTGTCTCTTTTCACATATACAATCAATTTGGTTTTTATGTATTCCTGGAAAAATTCATGTGCTTTTTATATTGTTAATAAAAGATGTATGATGAAGAAGTCGTTGGGTCATGCAAAATTCTATCATATAATCTGCAGCTTAGTTTCTATCAGCATGTCCATATTTTCCAACAGTTATTCCTCCCTCTGTCTTTTAAACTTTTGCATTCCTATGGTCAATAATTAACAATACAACTTGATTGCACGATTGATCACTTTCAGATTGAAAATGTTGGTAGAATTCATCAATTTCTGTATGTCTAGTTTTAGTAGTTTGTGCATAAATATAAACAATATTTTATTTACTGGATTTCTCTGTATGTATATCATATTGATATTATCCTATCACAGACAGAATTTCATTCTAAGATAGATCATGAAATGTCCATTTTGACTGTGAGTGCACTGTTAGTCCTCCAGATAGTGACATTCCCAGCATAGTAAGTCACATGATTTAATGATTCTAAATAGTCAATACCAGTTTATTTCTGTCCACTAATACCTATGATAATGATCCTTATGAATTCCAATTTTCCTCGATTCATATATCGTGCATGCCAATATCCGAATATTAATTTACATTTGCAGTTGTTTCTTCTCATTTTGAGTCATGCTCCATCATCACATGAAGACTCCACTTTGAGATTGCTGCTCTTCCTAAATCACAGTTTGAGTGTTTCCAGACCTGAGGGGGCCATATTTTGGCACTATCTTGGACGATACTTGACTTCTCTTCATTTGGTTTTCAGTATATGACAAAGTTTTGGTGATATCTGTATGGTTTTTAGTGACTATTTGTTCAGATCTTGACTGCCTAGTCCTTCTTTATTTTCTGCTCATAGTCTGAAAGCTCTTCTATAACCTGTTTTCTTTGGATGGCCTTGCTAGAATTTGAATTATGAGTAACATTGCTTCCAGAATCACAGAAGCACACAACTCATGACAGTATGATAAACTGACAGACAAATGCTGGATACAGAAAATACATTTGTATTTTTCAACACTTTTTCAGTGGGAGCCTCAGGAAAATAGGAGTAGAAGGACTATTTCTCAATATAATCAAGATCATATATACAAAACAAATGATCAAATCTAAATATCATTTTTATTGAAATAGAAAAAGTTTCCATATAACTAACTTCATATGTAAAGGAAAGAAATCATGAATACCCAAAGCAATATTGGAGAACAAAGTAAGAGGTCTCATACTTCCCAATATCAAAATGTATAATACAGTGTCAGTTGTTAGGAAAACAGCACTGCATTCATTCACTGATAAAATCATAAATGATTGGAATAGAAGTGAGAGCACAAACATAAATATAGCCATTTATGGAAAACTGGTATTTGATGATAGGTCAATATCAACTCAATGGGGGTAGAAATGCTCCTTGCTTTGTTCTGTCTTGTTTTTGCACATTTTGTTATCTCTGCAGGTCTGTCTAAATAAGATAGGTTGGATAAACAATCTGGAGGAGAAAACAATGGGACTGATGGTTCTGAGGGGCCATGGCAGACAGGGAGGTGGGGAGAAAGGAAATGGTGTTAACAAACCCAGGGACAAAGGAACAACAAGTGATCCAAATCGGTGATGAGGAGGGTGTAGGAAGCCTGGTAGGGCATGATCAAGGGTAATGTAAAGGAAAGGGTGCTCATTAGCATCACTCTTGCTCAGTGAGACCATAGATAGCCATATATTACATGATCCTAAAGATTCCACAAGAAACCTGATGGAACTAAGGAATATTTATTAGTTTTTGTGGTAGTTACATAATCTGGTGTCAACCTGAGACTATTAAAATCAAAGGGGTGGGGTCTAGCCTGTTAATCAGGTTACAACTTGATGACATCTTTTGGAGGCACAACAGATACAAATAGCTCACTGGAAGCCAGACACATACACTCTCTGTGAGATATTCCTTTTGACAAGCCACATGGAGCTAAGCTGAGAGAGCCAGAGCCTTGGATCTGGATCAGCCAAGTGGAGACTCATGCCAGTGCTAAGATGCTGCCACTGCTACATCCACAAGACTTTCCACCCACTGGCCTGTGATCTTCTGCATTCAGTGTCATTGCATGTGATGCATGAGTCTGAAAAGGAAATCATGGACTGGTATCAGACACATGGGCTAGTATCAGACATATGGACTTGATCTGCACTGGGCTTGGACTAGACAGGTATGTTTTCTTAATGTGAAATTGCTCTTTTATATAAAACTCTTTCTTATACACATATGAGTCTCCCTGGATTTGTTTCTCTAGTCTACCCAGACTAACACAGTGTTGGAGGATATCAAAATTATTTGGGTTATTTTACGCTAAGAGGACTACTGTGGAAAATACATTAAGGAATTTATATTAGTTGGAATATTCTCCAAAATAATTTTAGATTCTTTATACATTTAAATAGTTTACATTAAAAAGTTTTTAAATAAAAAACTTATAGTGAAAAGTATAAAACACTAATCAAGGAACTATATAAGAGATTCCAAGAGAGCTATATAATGGAAGGACATTCTGTGTGTTTGTGAATTAGAAGACTTATTATAGGGAACATATCAATTATACCTAAAGAAATCTAAAGATTCAATTTATTCCAATATAAATGTAACCAAGAGGAATTACTGAAACCCAAATGAAGGCTGAGCATGATGGTGGGACCAGGAAAGTAATAGGAAATAGAGGAAAGAACTAGGAGGCAAAGGGCATTTATAGAGGTCTAAATTCAGGCATGCACATATGTAAATATATTTATATATGAGGATGGGGAATAGATCTATGTGCATATATTTATAGGTTTAGTATTAAGTAACAGATGGACATTGGGCCTCCACTCAAGTACTCCCTCAATGCAAGAATACTTTGATCTATTAAATTGGCATTCCATGGTGCTCACCTTCCCAACACAATCACTGAAGACAAAGCGGTTGCATAAGCAGATGTGGTAAAGAAATCTGATAGAACCCAGCTATCAAAAGATATAGCATTGGCTCTCCCTGCTCTGCGTGGTTACACCTGCCACAACATGTATGACTTTCAAAAAGAGGGGAGAGAGAAAGGATGCCCTGAGGACCTCGGACAGGCCTCCTGTGGCCTGTCCCTTCTGGGGAACATAACAGGCCCAGAGGTGGGTGGGGATGGGGGTGGTGGAGATATAGCTTCTAGGATCTAACACCTGAATTTTTCATTTCAGGAAATTTTTTTTTTGCTTTTATTCTTTACTTTCATAGTTACCAATATATACTAATATATACATTTTAATTAAATGTTATGAAAATGTCACACTTGGCATTATAGGGTTAAAGACTTGAAGGTAAACAAGCATGCATCTAACTCAGAAGCAACAAATCCCACATGGATGAAGCACACCAGGCTGTGTGATCAAGAGGTGCCAAAGGGATCAGTTATCAGGCATCAAGCAACAAAAAATCATTGTGTGCTCACCTTCCCAATATGATCGCTGAAGACAAATGGGTGCATAAGCAAGTGTGGTGAAGAAATCTGATGGAGCCCGGCTATCAAAAGATACAGTGTCTGAGGTTTTAAAGATTTGAAGGTAAACAAATGGCCATGTAGCTCAGAAACAACAAAACCCTGATGGAAGAAGTACACCAGCCTGTGTTATCATGAGGTGTTGAAGGTATCAGGTATCAGGCATCAAAGAACAAAAAATCATATCATTGTGAATGTGGGGAATGCAGATTTGGGATCCAAGACCCATCTGTAGGCAACTGGACATTCCCTTACAGAAGAGTCATGGAGAGGAGACGGAGATCAGCCAGTCAGGGTGCAGTGTAGCAATGATGAAACATAAAATTTTCCTCTAGTTCTTAAATGCTTGCCCCCAACCCACCCCACTATAATGACCAGAGGATGAACACTGGTACAAATAGAAACTGGAAATACAGGGAATCCAGGACAGATGATACATTCAGGACCAGTTCTGAGAGTGGGAGAGTGGGGTGGTGGTGGAAAGGGGAAACCAATGACAAGGATCTACATATAACCTCCTCCCTGGAGGATGGACAACAGAAAAGTGGGTGAAGGGAGATGTTGGACAGTGTAGGATAGGACAACATAATAATTTATAAATTATCAAGGGTCCATGAGGGAGGGGGGAGTGAGGGGAAAAAATTAGGAGCTGATACCAAGGGCTCAAGCAGAAAGCAAGTGTTTTGAGAACGCTGATGGCAATGGGTATACAAATATGCTTGACACAATGGATGCATGTATGGATTGTGAAAAGAGTTGTATGAGCCCCAATAAAGTGATTAAAGAAGAGATAAAGGTAATGACAATGAAGTCACTGGTTATAGGGAAACATTGCCCATTTCTCCCTGAGAGGTTTACTTGGGTGCAAAGACTTTGGTTAAATCTTGAATGTGCTGGGAACATAAAAGCTTAGTGAAAGATGATTCCTTATTGCAAACAAAAGGAAATACTCCCTTAGGTCAGAATGCGTTTAGGAATGTATTTACATGCAAGAATGTTTTGATAGTTTGAAAACATCCTGAGTCAGAAGTTATTGTGACCTAGTATATTTCCCACATTTGGGAATTTGTATGCTTCCTCCTTTAGCATGTTAATAAAATTGGCAAGTGGAGAAGCTGGACAAAAAAAACAACACATGAGACTGTCAAAACTATAGAAAACCGATTTCACATGCAGAAAAATGAATTAGAAAGCATTCCTCACCCCTTACACAAAACTAATTTGAAATGGCCAAAGATCAAATGTTAAACCTCACACTATTAGGTTTGTGAAAGAAAAGATAGGAAGAAAATTATAGGACTTAATCTTTTCTAATAAGAATGTAGCATGCATAACTATTGCATGAATAACAGAAAATCATTTGATAAACGAGACCTTATAAAAATTAAAAACTTATGATCATCAAAAGACTTTATCAGAAGAATATAAAGTGATCTACAGATTAGCAGAATATCTTCAGAAATTACATGTCCTCTAAGAGTCAACTCTCAGAAAGTATATCAATAAAACCAATAACAACATCAAAATGACAACACGATGAAGTTAGCAAATGATTTAAACCAAGTGGACCTGCAAAAAGTGAAAAAACAACTGAAAATATGCTCACAATCACTAACAATTCAACACACACACACACACACACACACACACACACACCACCACCACCACCACCAGCAGCAGCAGTTGGAGTGGCAGAGGTAGTTCTTTGAACAGAACAAAGGAAAGCTGCAAGGTTTAAAGAAGAGAAAGGTGTGCATCAAGATTGTACCCTTTCACCATACTTATTCCATATGTATGTTGAGCAAATTATCAGAAAAGTAGGACTGTGTGAAGAAGAACATGGCATCAGGTTTGGAAGAAGGCTCATTAACAACCTTTGATATGCAGACGAGACGACCTTGTTGACGTAGAGCAAGGACTGTGGCCTTCCCTACTGATTACAACTCAATGTAAAGAAAACTCCAAACTACCCAACTGGACCCATAGGTAACACTGTAATAAACAGAGAAAGGTTTCAAATTGTCAGGGACTTCATCTTATTTGGAACCGCAATCATTGATCATGAAGCAGTCAAGAGATGACCTTAGTCATTGTGTTGGGTAAATCTGCTGCACAATCTTTCTAGAGTTTTGAAGAGCAAGGATGTCCCTTTTAGGACTAAGGTGCGCCTGACCACAGCCCTAGTGTTTTCAATAGCATGTGAAAGTTGGACATTGAAGAAGGAAGACTGAAGAAGAATTGATGCACTTGAATTTCATTTTTGGCGAAGAGTGTTAAGATATCATGGACTGCCAATAGCTCTCCTGGAAGAAGTACGGTCACAGTGCGCCGCAGAAGGCAGTATGGCAAGGCTTCATCTCATTTACTTTGAAAACATTGTTATGAGAGATCAATCCCTGAGGAAAGACATCATATTTGGTAGTCAGTCTGTAGGGGGGTGAAAAATCAAAACTCTTAATGAGATGGATTGACATAGTGGCTGCAACAATGGACTCAAACATAACAATGTGAGGCTGCTCAGGATTGGGCATTATTTAATTCTGTTGTACATAGGGCTGCTGGAACTGGGAACTAGCTACAGGGGATCTAACAACAAGATGTTTTAAAGTTCTTGATTCTTAGCAAATGGAAAAATTTGGTACTTTTTAAGGAACCAGATTATCTTAACTACTATTTCCTTATATTATTATCTTTATTACTATGATAATAAATATACAAGACACCGCTAACAAATGATTAGGAATGAAATACTAGTTATTAGGATATTTATTAACAAAATTTATCTATTTAAATTCATACATGTGCAAAACTAAAAGTTTCCCTTTGAGTTTAATAGCTTTCTGTCAGAGTGGTGTGTCTCTAGTTCATGACTATCACGGAAAAGAGGAAGGGCAGCCCATTCATTTTCAAAGTATTACAATGATGCATTTTGTCTGTGGGATTAATATTCTATTCCTTTCCAAGCATAATCATTAAAATGTATAATGTCTAAGAACATTCACATTCATGAATTTCAAATAAAATAGAGAAAGACATTTCTCACTTTATTCGGGGGAAAGAAAGTCACCCAAACAGTGATCTTAAAACCTGATGTAAAAACATTGGTGGGATGTGTGGGAAGAAGTGAGAAGAGAAATTCTATTCCTGCTAGTTCATGTGGAACGTCCTTTTTTCACTCTGAGAAAACAGTTCACAAATATGAGTTTAACACGACACTTCTGAGAGTTTTGACAATTATCGTTAAGGACCTAAGATTTCAACAGCCAAAAAACTTCTTTCACATGGCAGGAGGATGACAAATGTGATTACTGACAAACATAGTATACCTCTGGATGCCATAGACCCCCAGATATACAACACAAACCTAAAATGTATCAGAATAACCAAATTCATGGTCACAAGTTTGCACACAGCATAAAACTGTATCTGACTCTATATCTTAGTATTTGCATATCTTCTAGCATTTATTAGTGCCATTTATTTCAACAAGGAAAACACATACTACTGTTTTAATTCTTTTCATAATTTTAGGGAAAAAAATAAGTTCAAGTGAAATTCAGATGCAACACTTTTCATACTTCTGTAGGTTTTCAAATGAATAAACTTTATATATGCATAAAATAATGAGGATTAACTTTAGAATATTTGTCTTGTTAAGATTCCATACATATATTTATTAAAAGTAAGCTTTTGAATAAAATGCTTTCTTTTACAAAATATTTGACTCTAATATACAAATTACATCCTTAGCAAACTTAATATGAAAAATGTATGTATAAATGTACATAACATAAGATACACAATAAGACTGTTTAATTTCTAATCATTTTGACTAAGTGATCAAAGTAAAACTACCTGTCTTTTACTTTTTTCTTTTATATTTTAGTTACTAATTCACTCTTTGTTCTAATATGCCCTCAAGTAGGCATTGAATTTTCCATTGTAATTATTATATTATGTTATCTCCTGGTGGTATAGTGATTGTGAAATGGGCTGCTAATTGCAATGTCAATATTTCCTAAACACTGGGCACTCCATGGCAGAAAGTCAAGGCTTCCTACTCCCTAGAAGCGTGATGCTCGCAGAAACCCACAGAGGCAGTTCTACCCCCTCCTATAGGGTCATGAAAAGTCAGAAACAACTTAATGGAAATGAGATATTTTTTGAATATTTATCTTTAATTTGCTATGAAATCATTCATGCAAACAGATTCCCTGAAGATATTACTAATCCTATTTTTGTTTCATTGTACATTGTGGTGTGGAGAAAGTTTTATTAAAATACTCTACTTCATATTATCAAAGAGAGGCAAATGCAAAATTTGCTAAATTATGTATAAATGTTGGGAATTCCAGAACACTTGTTATGCTCATGAGGAACCTGTACATAGATAGACCAAAAGGTAGTTGTTTGAAGAAAATATGAAGATACCACATGGTTTAAAGTCAAGAAGGCGGACTGTCCGGGCTGTGTCCTCTCACCATCCTGATTCCATCTGTATGTTGAGCAAGTAATCTGAAAAGCTGGAGTATATGAAGATGACGAAGCATCAAGACTGGAGGAAGACTCACTCACCACCTGTAAAATGTAGATAATAAAACGTTATTTACTGAAAGTGCAGTACACATT